CATATATCTTTGTGTTAATTGCTGGTTCACCGAATAAAATCAAGTTCCAAGTGTAGCCGTGACAAATCACATTAATCACACCCGATCCTTTCTTTCTATGAGAATACCTTATTCGCAAAGCTCTGTGTGCTTCTAAGGTCGTTCACCATCGACAGTATTGTTTAATTAACCTTTAACTGTAAGATATAAGATATGTGTGTAAAATCTGTGCACAGTATAGACCACATATTTATTGCATTTACGTAAAACGCAAAAATTCATCAAACAGCTCCGCCGATGATTTAAAACAACTGCTGTCAAATGTCTGAAGGGCTTATTACCACATCTGACAGTCACATCTGATGACAAAATCGACAGGGACTTATGGATTTTCATGGTCCATTGCGTTAGTGCGGCTCTCAAACTGTGACAGCTTCACTGTTCGATGAATTGGATACGCTGGGTAACGCAGCTAAAACGTCGGACCCAAAAAGTGCACTAGGTAACAAAAACTCATTGAAGATGCGGTCTGTTTTAGCTTTTTCTTTGACAGATGAATACGAGAGCGAAGTTTCAGGGGTCCCAGCTACTGCTATTCACTTTTTAGGAATAATTACGCGGATGGTCATCAGCACTGAGGCCAACAACATCCTCAGAGTCATGACTAATGACTCAACGGAATTTATTAAGACCATTGCGTTGGTATTTATTTGCTAACATATTGCGTTGCAGATTTGAAATCATGTTCCAATTCTTATGCCTTCACATTGATGGGAAGTGAAAACAGATCTACAGTAAATCACCTGCTTCAGCCAATGATTTTTTGTATATTTCAGTCAGTCAGCCAGACAAACCGGAACAAGTTTCAATGGGTAAGCCCTTTCACATTTTGTACAATCTCATGCTGGTTTGTGGCTGTGCACATCCGATACCGATGATTTCACAGGCTAATTTTCTGACTGAGACAGGTTTTACCCCATTTTCATGTACTTTGATAAAATAATTTAACGTTTTAATGCACATTTGCCTGCTATCCACAAGTTAAATTTACATAATCATTACTTTCCTTGGGGTGCAAACTATATAATGCCTGCTAACGGATTAACAGAATAACTTTTCCAGCCCTACGCTTCACACTGCATTCTTCATTTTATCATTCATCAATTGATAAGCATAGTTGAGACAGCACGTTTGTGTGGGTTGCTCTTACGTTCTCCTACAAACAAACGAAGCGCAGTTGTGGGCTGAGTTCGAAGGAAGCAAAAGGCATAGCAGACGTCATTAATCACTCAGTCGCAACACAAACAACGCACATTAGACACGCATGAGAACAGATGTTTAGCTGACAATCCCGGACACGTGACACTTGATTGAAAAACGTCTTCATTTTTGGGGTAGTTCACATCAATGGTAACACTTTGTCCGGAAGCGTCATTCGTTTTCGTGGACTTCATTTGACTTTTCGATAATGGTCGAACTTCCTGCCAACGTTTGCTTGATATTCCAGGTTTTCTCGTGCGTTGATCACTAGTCCATGGTCCATATTGCAGGTGACGCGAATTTGTGCTAGCAATATAATTTTAGCGACAAACATTCCTACTTTTGTAATCCGTTGGCTGCTGCTTGGAATTTTTTTATGTAGAACATCTCGCTGGTGATGATTTTATTAGAAAGCTTGAAAATGGGAAATTCTCAATAGTTTCGTTATTAGGTTGTATCTTGGGCGAAATTATGGAGTTGGTGAATCCAAGACAGATGCTGATAACTTAAATCATAAAGCAATGAAGCTGGTGTCCTTCGTTGAAAATATTCGAAACTACTTTAAAGAAAGGATGGACTTAAAAGGGATTTATTCAGCTGTGTAAATCAATATTTGCAAAAAAAACAAAAGTTCATCATATGGTATGAAATCTGTCTTGCCTCTAGAATGCCATGAATTTTTGTTCCTCTCTTGATGCTATTTCGGCTAACTTTCGGCCCTCCACTTTTTTAAAGTTGCTCACGATCTTTAATATGAAAGCTATCGTAGGTACCTCAGTATTTTGTACAATCCCAATAAATTCTAATCAGGATCAGTCACTTTTTAATAATTCAGTAGTATAACTGAACCAACATGTTTTGTAACGTAAAAGAGAGCGTACCTCTTTCACCAAGCGGGAAGATATCAGTGGTTCTAATGTGACGGTGGTCCTACTCCAGACATTCGAATGTACATTAGGGTGCGAAAAGTGTACGGACTTTCGAAATAAACCATAAATGGAAACCAGTTTACCTCTTTGTTCATGAAGATTCGTGGTCTTTCGGTAACATGCTTATCTTATAGGCATTTCTACTGCGGACAAACAAGGAATATCTAAAATACAAATGTGAATCAAGGAATGTATCTTAAGTGACACGAGTTGGGTTTTAGGTGCGTCAGGCAAGAGAAGGATCCATAAGTAGTTGCGATTACCCAATTTACCAAAGGCAATTTATGCAGAAGAAAACAAAAAAAACAAAAGTGTCTTGCGGCTATGGTTACATAGCAAAGTACAAACCAGACGATGTCTTCAGTATTGAATACTGCGAGAAACTGTAAATGAAAGGAAAATTTGTAAGAAAAGTGATTCGGGCGTTAGCACTCTTATGCTGAGTTTACGTGAGCATCAGGCTTTGTTTCGAGACGCTTAGATGGGAAAAGGATGTTATTCGAGGTTTTCAGGCACGTGAGTATGTAGCCTATTCGGCTGGGTGGTTCGCATTAAACGATTACCACAATTCTACTGCGAAAAGACTTGTCTCATGGTACATCAACTCCTACTAATTATCCTATGAAACACAACTTCGGTCAAGTGGCAGTGGCCAATGTAGGGTTACCTTTATCCCAAAGACGATGTATTCCAGTTTGATTGTTATGAACGTAGACCGTGCCGAACAAGAGGCTTCAGTATTCTACAAAGCAGATTCAATACAAATCGTCTAGCATGGGGTGGAAGTCATCAATATCATTGGTATCATGGGTGACAGTTGTCCATGGGGTCATCAGGAAGTTAGAAACACTGTAAAATCCCCCGTTATCGAACTTTATTAGGAACTTATAAAATGTATTATCTTGTCACATTTTCGAAGTATTCCCATATGTGTGTGTGTGTGTGTTGCAGGAGTCGCCATTTGCCGTTTGGTACTTAGCTACTGCTCTCTTATTAGTAGTGCCAATTCACCATTAATCATTTAGGCCGTAACTAGATTCTCACGGTTATCTAGCTCAGATAGTTCGATTCTCTTACGACCTGTTCGTTGTACCTTGAGTCGTCTTCTGCTGGCACGAATATGAACCAGAAAATGGGCAAAATAATTTGGTTGTTTGAAACGCCTATGTTTTGTCCAGTTACGTGCAGTAACACTGTTATTCGTGGCAATCTAGCTGGGTTACTGCTCAGATTTGCACCATTTCAGAAGCGGTCATCTAACCGGCAGTCGGAATTAATGCACATAGAAGTGCAGCATCTGCCATATTGTAATGTTCCTGAATCCAAGTATTACGAACCGAATCAATCCAGTTCTTAAATTTTTAATTGAAACGAATTAGCTACGGATTTTCGTTGTGAAAATGCAGCCGAAAATTGTATCGCTTGTATTCCACTAGGAAAGGCATCCTGTGTTGTCGGACAACACATGAATGTAACTGGTTGAGTTGCTATTTCTAACACCGATTATGAGGAACAACACTTGAGAAAAAAACTTCCGTGGAAGTGTGAAGTATTAGTGCAGTTACTGGCTGTGCTGCTGGACACCTTTATCGTCCAATCAAATTCTAATGTAGCCGGCATTGTTAGGTATAACCCTTCCATATTTCCAAATGCACAGAACATGGAACATTTATTCTTGTTGCTGTTTCTGCTAATTTCAACAAACGGTCTATAGATACGGAACTAGTCGAGTGTCCAGAAGAGCACCGAGACTACTGTTTAAACGGAGGACAGTGTTACATGCTCAAGTCCGATAGGAACGTATTACAGTGCAGGTAAGTTTGGTTGTATTAATTTTTCGCGAAATTAGGCGACGAATTAGGCGGGTATTTAGAGAATGAGCATTATCTTTCACCTAATGGTTGTAGAAATTATGGTTTTTTACCACCATCTAAGTCATGACTTAGCGGGTGTTTGTTGTTCGCTTCTTAAAGACATTAACCATGGTGGAATAAATGTGAGCATTAAATTAGAAAATAGCGTGAAATAGACGGGAAAGGAAACGCTGGCTTGTTTCTGCTGAACTCCGGACCGTGCACTTATCAAGGTTTAAAGGAAGAACGAAAATCAAACGAAAACCCTACTCCATTACGCTGACACTAGTCAGGGGACATGTCGATATCCTAGGTGGATTCATCAGATAAACGTTCGGTTCGTGATAACTAAGTTTTAGTGATCAAATTCTTAAATGTATGAGGCGCAGTAGCATACGTTTTTCTATTCACCACCCATTAACTAACCTTTTAGAAGAAATCATTGCAAACTTGGCTCGAATTTACGTATGCTAAAATAGTGTTTCCACTGCTAGTCTGAAAGCGTTGAATCCATTTCACAAGGTCCTCAAAAGCCCCATGATTTGCCACATTTGTAAGAGGAATGAATATAACTGAATCCCGCAGAGATGTAACATTATAATGCTTGACGCTTTTCCATTATCGGAAAGTCTTTTTGTCATATTTGTAGAAATTAGAATGAATCATCATAGGTTTCACCATACGTTTATGGCCTGCTTGGGTTGCAGTTATTTTGCCGAATCAGTGCTTGTAGAGCAAAATTCACTATCTTCTAGCAGATATTTTCATTTATTCGGAAAAATCGCCACATGTACTCACAAGTAATTGCTGTTATCGATTTTCTCGCTCCCACCACGCAATCCCCTTCAAGATGTTCCCAACAGTACTTCGGTGATCGCTGTCATTTTCACGTTGGCGGTCTTCTCGGTATGAAGACGGTTTCTGAATGGTCGTCTGTTTTAACACATTACTGCACTTTTAATCATCTTGGTGATGAGTAACCAAAATTAACAGCAGATTTACTTTTTGGGTTTCTTAACGTGTGCGCTTTTTTGCCAGTTTAATGCACCACTATTGGAGGAAACATAAATGTTACTTTCAATACAGGTTCACCTATGTATCTCTTTTATCATACGCGATTTCTTAACACAGCTGCCACACACCTTTCTACGGCACCAATTGCGAACGTGTTGCTGTTGACTATAAAGAATACAAACGTAGGTCTTCATGTTGTCCCACCAGATGTTGTATGCGTATGTTTTTACAGCAAACCACTATGCATTTCCGATATTTATCCCAGTTGCCTTGCTATCCTTGTGTGTGTTGGATCCGTTTTGTTTGAAATAGTGACAGGCGAATGTTACGTGAACTTCGTGGGCCAATAGTGGTATGGCGGGAACCCAAAAGAGTTGGTTAGTTAGAAAACACTGCATTGTTATCCGGTTTCTTTTCGTATTTGTTTACCGATTTTGTGCGTAGAAAGTCAAAAATTTATTCCTTACCCGAAAATTGCGGATGGACTATGATTCATATGCCACAGCTTTACAGTATTGTATTGTTTCATCACTTTTTAGCATCTAAACCGATCAGAATAGTAAATCAATTCCTAGTAAGTAGAACGTGTTCCAAAGACACACGAAAATTTATGTTCTCCTCTCACTTTCATTCTTTAAAGCAAGTCAGTACGCAGTGTCTGCTCAGCCCACTGGCTGGGGACGGCGTAAGGTCCTGAGGTAGCGGTTAAATGCATTCGTGAACTGTTCAAGCCAATACAATCAAGCCACTCAATGAACGATAAATAAATAAATCATTTTAGAAATCACTTTAGAAAATATTAGAGAAGGTGGAGGTTGGAAAAAGCTTGTGCTGCTTGCCTATATTTGTTTATTTAGGAGCTCACTCAAGAGGCTGAATAGATAGATAGATAGATTACCATTCAACCATGGCGAGTCTTCTACATTTATGTGGAAAGTACAGGGAAGTTGAGACCTACGAGCGAACGATCTTGTGATCTTCCTCGTTGTTACAGGTGTTATAGTTGCCCTAAGAGCTGAGTCCTTCAGAATGGCTAATTTATTGATTTATGATTATCCAATAAGAGAGCGAGGATATTCAGCCCGGTCTTCATCCTGTTGCTTGGTGTTCACTTTGCTCTCTAAGATTAAACAAACTATACACCTTTAAAAACCTAATAAGTTTTCGTCCTAACCCTGTCCGATTGATTACTTCCGACAGATTTGGAGCAACTGTTGTCAAGACAAACCAGACTGGTTGCTATTTTTGGATCGTTGTTCGTCACATCGTTTTTTATTCTAGTCGCTGTTTCCATTTTGTTGTGGTGAGCTAACAGAGGTATACCATTTTTGTTTGAAGCATGTTGGTTTAGGCGAATTGGCACCTACCTAACAAAGCTGTGATCCTGAAAGCTTAGTAACCCTTCTGTGTTCGCTGAGTTAATCTATCATCAGCTTTCAAAGAAAACTCTCCCGTTAATTTGAGCAACTGCATTTACATCTACCCGTATAGGAATAGCTGTCCTCTTCTTTGATACCGTTATTTTAGTGAGACTGAGACGAGAGAAGGGAACTCTTTTGAAGGTTTCATCATCGCCTATCCATACTGTCACCAGTAATAGAAGTTCGATATCCTCTGAACTAAGTGAACACGAACTCTTAGTTTAGTTACAACTTTTTCACCAGTTCCCACTCAAGCTGCATATTTCAACATAATGATCAATACAACACGGAAGCGAGACCATTATCATGTGATGATCAAGGGAGTATGACTGAAAGGGCCATTCGCCATTGTGCAGGAAACACGATTCCTCAGCAACCCTTGCTTCGCTGGTCCACTATGTTAAGAGGCCTTGGAACACCTAATGGACAAGCGGGGCAATTAGTTTTGATTAGATTGTATGAAGTGATGTTGGTGTGAAATCTTCGAGAACTTGCGTTTGCAAATCTTGAATAGTTCTCAATGATTTTTTCTTGAAAGTATTGATCTGACTGACGATCATAAGATATACAAGTTCATTCGAATTTGTGTTTGTGTCGGTAAATGTAAGGAAATTATCAGATCTACGGAATTAGTTCAGTTGATTTGTAGGTTCCCTCTCACCCTGATTAGCGTTTCGGCATTAATGCTGAGTGCATGATACGCTGCATGGCAGTTGAAAGTTCCAGCATTGGACCACTGGTGAGGATGAGTAAAACAGTTACTTTTTATCGGCCGTTGATTCAGGCAAGCAGAGAGAGTTACTTAAACAGAAAAAAACTGTACCTGATGAGACAGGATAGCCCAAGCGTAACGGGCCCTTGCTAGGAAACCACTGGCCAGTTGCGCTTTTCTTGTAGGCTAAAGAGAATTGTTCCAAAGCGCTCTTACACCAAATAACATACATAATCTTGACATCTTATGAAATGAAATTTAAGTCCTTGTGCCTCGTCGTACAGTGCATCGGTCAATGCGGTCAAGACGTTAAATTTTGTGTTGCATCCTGCATGACTTTGCTACCATTTTACATCCTTTTTTCTCACCAAAACGTTTGAATCCGGTTTCGTTTTACTCATGTTATTTCTGTTCTGGTTAAATCACAGCCTACGCAGAGGCAGGAGATGCCGGCTTGCATAGCATGTTCAAAGAAATCTCGCATGAAATTATTACGCATCTTTCTTGGAGTTTATGGGGAAGTGTCCTCTTGGTCGTTGGCATGCTGCTATATCTGATCTACACTCAGCATCTCTTGTACGTTTGTGTTAAATCTTGTTGTTGTAACACGCTGCATGTTAGACTACACTTCGTATATGTATTTCCGAGAGTGAATGCATGTCCTTTCGAAGAAAATAATACTCCCCCGAGCTCGTGCCATTCTTTTGCCGATATGCAGTAACTCATTTTTGTGCTTCTAAGGTCCTGAGTTATACCTACAACGTAGCCGAATTTAGTGCAAATGACTGAAATACATGGGAGAACGCGATCCGATGGAGAGAGGGAGGCGTTAGACGTCGAAGCTGCCGACGTTGGGGACCCATAGAGAAAATTGTGCGGCTGAAACAGTGATCCACAAAGACTCAACCAAATCAAATATTCTAATGCAGCCTGTCGCGTTAAAACATTCAGATTTTGCAAACAATGTGGTGGAGGAATATTTCGCCATTGTCAGCCGATGTATCTGTGATTCCCATGGACCATCTCACCTTATGCTTTATGAGCATGTGAAATCTAAGAAACAGTTACCACTGCAGTTTGACCCACAAAACAGACAGCCTAAATAACAATAATGTGTGGCTCATAGTCCGTTACGTTTGCACTATCCGTAAAAAGAAACTGCTCTCTGTGCAGCCGTTTTCAGAAACCTGCACACTTCCACAGATGTTTCCAGGGTAGTGGATGACAGCCAGACGGTCAGGGACCCACGTCGTTTCATCAGGGTCGCCTTTAGTCCTGCTTGATCGAAGGATGAGCAGTCGCATGGAGGAAGTTCGTCGATCTGTTCACGGAGGTTAGCGATTGCAACAGAATCATTCCGTCACCCAAAGAGAAAGAAATATCTGCGAGGATATCATTCCCCGGACATGATCCGGCAACCACGTATTCGCTATTTACAAGTCATGTTGGCACCGGTGGTCAAGTCGCGTGTCAATTACTAGCTTCACTAGAATCCAAAGGATTTGAACTCGGTAGCAAACAAAGATTTCTAGCAAATAATTAATTAGACAAATATATGACACATACTGGTAGGAAGGACCAATGACAAAGTGATCCTCGATTGCAGCTGTTTCAAAAACTTCAGGGTGTAGTTCTGCTTCCGCATAAAATATCACATTTTGCATCGCTGTACATGCTAAGTGCTTGCACTAGTTATCCAGTGTTCGTGGAGAACCAATGCTTCGAATTCGCGTTTTTCGACATTCCAAAACATCACCCGCTGCACTCTTCAGTTCTGTGTTCAACTTGGGTGTGATCCACAGTCTTGTACGCGCATTGTGCCTGTTCGTTCATTATTCAGTCCCTAACTTATCCAAACATTCCAAGTTATTAAATGGAGACTTCATGACTGCTTTGCTGGCAGAATTTCCCTTGCTGATATCAGATTATACCACCACCTGAGTTACTGTGATGGTCAACATTTAGGTCCGTTTGTGTAAAGAATAAAGGCTCAGTCAGTACACCCATCTGCATACATCCTTACATGATTTATATGTCTTTAGTATACTCTTGGTTGGCCTGTGGCACTTGTTTGAAAGAGCGACCGGTGAATAAACCCTGTTAAATTCAGAATCTCCACCAAAACGTGGAGAATTTCGATGAACTGAAGTTTGGGCGATATCCACCACTTGCTATGTGAATGTGATGGCTTTTGTCCGACATGGATTCGGACAGCTATTGAATTACCTTGTAAGTAGGTTTATATTCAGAAGTTTGACTCCAAATTTTGCTGTTGAGCTCAACGGGACATCGGTTGAAATAATTCCTGTTCGTTCCCAAAACCTGCTCTAGTTTTCTCACTCACTTTTATTAATGCTGGAGTACGTGATCGATTCAATCAAATCACGTTGAATATCCTTCCAAAGACCAACAGAGGTCGCGTCTTTCCGGATATGATATGGATCATAATTAGATGCAAGATTTACAGTTTCAGATATCAACCTGGTACCTACACTTATTTGGTCACGGTTTGAGAACTTTAAAAACACCGGTAATCAGACATAGTGACCGTAAAATTGGACCATAAGCACTTCTAGTGACTTTAGCGTAAGTGACTGTGGATAGCAGGATCTCGGCTGGAGCACTTCAAACAGTTTACATTACGACCTAATGTTGTGTAGCCCTCAACGTGTTCCCAGAATCAGGAAGAGCTTTGTGAATATAGAAAATTTTCCACTCAAGATTTCATACTGTAGATAAATTCGACCTATGACGAGGAGCTTGGGGACGTTGTGCAGCTGTTGTGCATCTACAGTACGCACCTCATGGCTGATTCAAACCCGTGAAATGCGGACTAGTTATTCAACCAAGAACAGCTGACTAGCGGCGTGAATAACTCGAGACACGATACTGATCCATTTTTTTCTTCAATCACCAGACTCACGTGTGAAATAGTTCAACGATTGACGTCTTCTCAGTCAAGTTCATTCACGGCAGGAACTATCCTTCCTTCTAAGCTACTTAGAGTTTGTAGATAGTAGGTAGATATTTGTAAATTTATCGTCCTGTAGGTGAAGCCAGCGCCTACCGAAAAGCCAGGAAAGCAGTACAGTTGTTTCATTCTTATTGGAACTCAACAACAGTAGGCGGATTACGAAACTTCAGGAAGATTCAAATTCGCTCCTGTGTGAATCACTGGCGCTACTCAGAGACTCTTCGCTGATCGCCGAAGTAATGGACCGGTAGTCAGGATATCGCTGGTTTGGATCTCCCTTGTGAGGCGCACTGCTGAGGATTCCCGGCTTCTGAGCATAGGTTGACTTCATTTGTGGGACGAAGTCCTGATTGAATTTTGAGTTGGTAGTTCTTTTTCTTTGAATGAAATTTAGGATGTTGATTTTTCTGGCGTCATCACAGTCCAGCTCAAATCTGTTGAGTGACTGCTGCACTCGCTGAATTGCACCAAACGACAAAGTCTCTCTTTCGTCATCCGAACAATATCATCATTTAGCGATTTCCTCATTTTTCGCTGTAAATACTCCAGGTCAGTATGTTGTTTATTTTACATGCTATACTTGACACAATCCACAATACGGCGGCGTTTATGCGGCTTTGGATCACTCAAAAGTGCAGCGTGTATAGGTCTGCCTGTCAGCTGAGTTGATTTTCGGCCTTGTGAATGTACTTATGTGATTACGTAAACAAGTCTGTGGTTCCCATTTTCATAGAAATAACGTCTCATCTTGCATGATGGAGGCACCTTATAGTGATAGGTTGATCATGTATTAATCAGCGAACTGTGAAATGAAATCAGTTAATTTTTTTTCAATTGTGACTCGTGATGGATGGACGGTGTTCTTTCGCGGTGCGACATTAAATTCAAACTTAAAAAATCCAACACTTTTTTTTGCCGTTTTGGTTGTCAAACGTGGGCGCCAAACTGATCACACTGAGAACAGAACGTTCATAATAAGTTTTAAATGAAGTTTACGGGAGAACTAAAATAACACTCCGATTTCTGATATTGGACAACCAAATGTGCGGAAAGAAGGAAGCCTTCTGTTCCAGTTTTTTAGGGTGCTGCAGGGTGGTGCGACATTGGTCGTAGTGTCGACATAATATCTTGCTAGTGAGATACCAGTCTCTGATGAGTAATGGAAGCGGAAAATTAATTTGATTTTTCCGTCTGCACAAGCGTCATTTGTAAGTAGGCGATTAACTTCACAGTACTTTTTCCTTAGAAGAATTCTTAATCTGCGGAATGCCTTTTTCTTCTAATCTTATATAAAACATTACCTCCGAATTCCATGTCCCAATATAAGGCTGTTTTTTCCTAGAGGAGTTTATCTCATAAGAGCGTTCGTTACTCCCCATTTGTTGATTCGGATGTAAGTGAACCTGTAAGACATTAGGGTTAGATACCAGTTGCCCCAGGCGATTAGACAGGCCATGTAGTACCATACTGAACAGACATTAAGTTTGACATGTGTGGAGAGCCACATTGTCCTCTATCAGAGTGATGTACACCAACCCAAAAAATGACATTCTTTTAAGAATCGCACATGAATTTTTAATTAAGAATTAATTTCTTTTTATTTTTAGGAAAAGTCATCTCAACAAGACTAAGAGACCCCGTCCTACTGGTGGACGCAAGCGACAAGTAGGTAAAGTTCTTACATGTTGTCTCAAAGAATTATAGAACAGTTTACAGAAGGGCTATTAAAGCCAGACCTACGTATACCTAAACCTAACAGATATCTGTGACAATCTGCCTTGCAAGATGTGTAGATTTCTTGGTCATTGTATATATATAAATTCAGAAAATAAGGTGATCCGACTTTGAGATTCAGAAGAGAGAAAATCCAATAATTCCAGGGAGGTCAATTTGAGAAGACGTGGTCAGATTTACTAGAATATGAATAATTGGTATTTGCAAGCAAAGTTGGTTTTGCGAACGACTTACATGCAACGCAGCTGAGTCTCTCGTTTATAATTTTTTTCAAGCTAATGAGTGTACTTCGCTAATTTCTTGCAATTTGGTTTCAAGTAACACAACACAAAGACGGATACTTGGGGACTGCGTCTGCACCCAAGAAGGGTGAATCCGATAAACCTAACAGATATCTGTGACAATCTGCCTTGCAAGATGTGTAGATTTCTTGGTCATTGTATATATATAAATTCAGAAAATAAGGTGATCCGACTTTGAGATTCAGAAGAGAGAAAATCCAATAATTCCAGGGAGGTCAATTTGAGAAGACGTGGTCAGATTTACTAGAATATGAATAATTGGTATTTGCAAGCAAAGTTGGTTTTGCGAACGACTTACATGCAACGCAGCTGAGTCTCTCGTTTATAATTTTTTTCAAGCTAATGAGTGTACTTCGCTAATTTCTTGCAATTTGGTTTCAAGTAACACAAAAGGTTGACGGATACTTGGGGACTGCGTCTGCACCCAAGAAGGGTGAATCCGACCGTGGGCTGCCGACCATAAATGTGAATAATTAGTTCGGAAGCATGAAAACACATTTCAGTTAAAGCAGCGATGAGGCACTTCCTACTCTCGAAATTTAAAACTCAACCAAACCACGTTTTTACTCGCGCAACCAAGAACCTTTACAGTGTAGTCGGGAGCGCACTTTCCGTTTTGTTGTCGCTCTCTTTTCAATTCCACGCTGGAGCGCCTGACTTGGTGCAGAATGTCTAGATTCCCTTTTCGTTGACCCCTAAGTCACGTAATAAACTAATGGTATCAATTGTAATCATTGCACAAACTTATTTGAAGGATACTATAAGTAAGCTCACCTTGAGCACAGGAGGTTTACACGTGACAGTTAGTCGTAGAAATTGGTAAAGCTCCCTCCTCCAGCGTCTTGTGGACATCACCAAGGTGCGTCTTTAAGCCGTAATGTTTTCCCCGGCATTGTGTACTACAGGATGCGAGTTACGTTCTTGCGTATGACGAAAAGTTGTCAAGTGTTCTGCTCTCCGATGCAGTTGTAATGGTGCTTGCCATCAGTTATATTCTGCAGACAGCTGCGACGTGGAAGCAGCGCTGTCACGCCCAAGGCAACAAGACTGCCGGTGTTTTGAGAGACGACCAGTAACATTGCTTTCATGGACATTTGGTAGTTCTACCGATGCATGGAGACTCTTATTTGTTGTAAATCTTTGTAGCTTCTAAGGCCTTCCTTATGACCCTGCTTCACTGGTGATACAAAGCTGTCAACGTCTGCGCACACGTGATACCGCTAAGTAGACTCCTCATCAGCCTTCTTGTAGTATGTGTGCCATACCTCGAAATCCACTATTGGTTCCTCACTTAGAAAAATCAGCTCGTCTGCCCTGATCTACTCCATTCGATCAATGGAATATTGGATGTGATACACACAGTCCATCGGTTAAAATTAGCAAGTTCCACATTCCGCTGTTGAACATAGGCACCTACTTTGATAAACGACGAGTTCTTGTTTCCACCACACAAAGAGAAAATGGGGTATCTTAGGTGTTTCAAATACAACGGCCCAACTTACCCAGAAAATGTGACTTTGGGTAGCAAATAAGGACAAATACACAGATGAAAGGTAACTTACAAACTGTGTATGATTTTGGTTTTTCAGTCACGCAGTGCCCAGGGTTCAAATTTACTCCTAGGCAGTCGAGCAGTCAGCTGTACGGAGTTTGAAGATCGAAGTGGATTGCACGTCAATAATGCGGTCACAATTCCAGTCCCAACAGGAAGGATGTGTAAGTCTCCTTTAAAAATTGAAAATTTTGCAATGCTGCTCCAACAAGCATTCAAAAATCGGGTTGTATGATGCCCTGTTTTACTACAAACCTTAAAACGTTGCATATTTGGCAAGGCTCGCAACATTCCCCTGAAGAAAGGCGATTATGTTGTTCTGATTCTTATTTCAATCAAAAGTCTCTCCCGTACGTTTAACCAGGAACGATTTACTTACTAAAATTTTGACTACGCTAAAATTCCTCTGACACGCTACCATTCAGGGATACAGGAATGTGTGTTGGAAGAGGATTGTCTGATGGAAGCAACAACAACGATGAACGTTCCCTGCCACCTTTTGTATTTCCAAGAAAGAACATTGTCGTATTTGGCAGATTTCCAAACATCATTCGTCATGCACCAACATATAAGCATGATGAGCTCGCATAACGGCCACCAAGGGCATCCAAATAATTTAAAAATCACTTGATTGGGTTCATTTGAATAGAGCAGCTAACACAACCATTTCAAACAGGTGTTCCCATCAACACGGATTAACGAATCAATAGGGCGGAAACGCGATAGCTAATTATGTATTGTACGCGACGTATTCCCGTGTTCTATCACTATTTCCTTCAGTACGCTTTGCAGGCGTGTGACCTGTGCCGCTCTTAACCATCAGATAGCATAAATAGAACACTGTCCGTAAGAATCAACTGGTTTCAACGGGCAATGGAGCAGCAGTTCTAGTGACATTGACCATTTATTTGCCACAAATGATTGGGGGTTTATAGTCAGTGGTTCATAGCATTGAAACTGTGATCTTATTCTTCGGATTGGGGAGAATTAACCCACTCAACAACCAATAGGTACGTCTTTTTGGCCGAAGCAGGCCTGTTTTCCCGAAAAAGGTTGAATTGAAAAAATGTGCACCCGGGATTCGGTCTTAGTCAAGGTGCAGCGTTTTTCTTGGGAAAGTAGTGCGCACTGCAGGGAACGTGTATTTTAATTTTCTCAGGAAATTTTCTCCCTAATTTGGCAACCCAAATCAACATAATGCATATATGAGGCTAACACGTCAGTGAATTAGGTCAACCTGATTCGGTAGATACGCTGCTGAGTTCCAGATACTGAAGTCTTGGTCGGCCCGGCGCCGAGAATAGAAGGTGATGTTTACACACAAGGAGGCAATTTGTACGACAACTTTCAGTTTTACACCGTCTGGAGGTGAGCAAGTGCAAACCAGGTAACGGCTAGCGGATGTAGGCTCGGTAATGTGGGATGCAATCGTTCTGTCCGTGACAAGTCTTGTGAGTGCGACTGGCGGTGCGATCACACGAGTGCCAAGATAGGACAAGTCAGAGCAGACTCAATAGACAAAGCAGGTCAAAAATAATTACACGCATGCTAGCATAACACTGTCGGAGGGTATGGCCTTCGTGACAAGGTGAAGGGCGGTTACAGAAGCCGTACCGGAGCACAACAGGTACAGGTCAATAAGCACATGGACGCAGTAAGTAGATGAATTAGGAAGTTATGCTGTCAGGTTCGATTCAGTGTGCGACACGCTATCACTAATCTCTGTTTCCAAAAGTTTCTGTCGCCAACCAGCGGTCAGTTTAGGGCCCGTTATAACGCAGGCATTTTCCGGGTGCAATCTGGTGTAGTACATAATCGTTTGCAGTGTCAGCTATGAGCTACCAGGAGAAAAATAACAAAGTCGTATGCTTTATCATCACAACTACTATGAAATACCTTGGTGTCAACACCCATGGAACAGACCGTAATAGTTCACTCGTGCAGACTACTGTCTTCTGTTGATTACCTCCGAAAACACCTACGAACAAATGCATATTTGCTGGGATCATTATTCTAACATTTACGGACTTTAACGAGCGTGGTTTACGCGTCTCGCACAGAACAAATAGACTCGAACATAATAATTGATAGCAATGTCAAGTATCGCCATCCACTGGTTTCTGGTGTTGTTGTTCCCCTAGTGCTCTGTTGATGAGTTCTATAGCACTCTCCTTAAAGTTGGACTAATCAATTAGTGCAGTCACAGTATCAGTAATTTCGTTAACTTCCCTGCGGTTGTTAGCATCACATAGCGCACATACTTCAGGAAAGATGTGTTTATTTGAACCTTTGGTGTTTGTCTGATGTCTGGTGCTCAGTATAAGATGCTGGGGAATCGCTACTGAAACGAAGCAGATTTAGAGCTGAAACCATACTACATTGAATCCTCAAATATATTTTTGCAGTAGGAGGACTTTTATTTAGGTCACGGCCCATCTCAGCACAGCCGATGGCCACTGACTTATTTGCTGATTCGACGCAGTAAGGCAAGGTCAGGTAGAGACAACCTCTTCAGTCTATGTTCGCTTTTCAGTAAAACCGATCACAGGCTCCGTATTTATCACCGTGTCTATCTGATTAATTTTACAACAAGGTTGTGTTCAAATCAATTGGAAAAAGTTTGGAACCGATGAGAAGTCATCGTTTCAGAAGGGCTTGGTAAAGAATCGGTAGTTTTTTTAGTTGGTTAACGTTTCACCTTTGACACAAAAGCTTCATCAGTTCAAGTGAGCAGGACACCAAGTTGGTTAGGTTTTAAGGCAGACGGAAGACCAATCAGTAAGACGTCTTCATAGTAGCGTACTACATCAGTGTTCAGTGTCAAATAACGGCTCTTGTCAGTTAGTGTGGTTGCCAAAATCTAACATTGATGGATTGGGGTAGTTTCAAATTAGTTCCGATCGGGTTTGGTTCCTCAATCTTCCATTTCAGGATGCTTCAATTGATGATTCACTGTAGGTGCCGCTGGTAGATCTCGTTGGTCTTTGTGGACTCGTGAGTGTTGCGACTATTTAGTTGGGGGAGGGAAGGTGGGTGAGATCAAGTGAAATTCAGATTATGACTACTAAATATGATAACCTGACACCAACACGTGTCATTTTGACTGATCCAAAACCGTCCTCCACCACTTGCCAGAACCACACCTATTCTGCTTGGCAATTGCTACCGTCTCGGCCATCGCTCTGTGTGACGTGGACCGAAGTCCTCACAACTTCTACATTTTCTAAATCTATTTTGTGTCCCGTGTACAGGACATCTTCCGCCATTGCCAAGTTTTTCAGTAACGCTCGATATTCACCCGTGTTTGTTGGCGGCCTGTTTATTTTTCTCCTGTGCTCTCCAGTTCTTGTGTGAAGTTCCATGGACTTCTGTCCTAGGTAGTCTGGTCTTTACACTTAATTTTGTAGACACAGTCGTTGGTTCTGTTCACCGGGAGACGCTCCTTCAACTGTATCAATGCAGAGCGCAGTATTTATCTTCTGAAAAGCTACACTTATGTTAGCCGAAGTCATATAAATTCTTGATGCAAGTGCTAGATTTCCCACCTTACCGTCTTACTGATTGGTTCTTAGGCTGCCTTAAAACCTGGCTAACTTGCTGACCTGCTCACATGGCCTGACGAAGCTTTTGTGTCAAAAGCGAAACATTGCCCAAATAAAAGCTATGGATTGTTTACCGATCCCTTCTGAAACAGGTTGCCTTCCGTTTAAAGCGGGATGTTCATATTTCGACGAATCGACTGTCCAAATGAATTTATGGTATGCTTCAGTCGCACTGAACGATTTTCAGTCCAGCATTGTCTTGTATCCGGTGCTCTGTTGACCAAGGACTAAAGAGTAATAATGAGCCAAACTGAACCGTTGCACCCTCAAGAAAAAGCCGAAATTTTCGGGGCTAGTACTGGAACTAAAAAGCGATGGCACTTAAACGTGAACCATGTCAGAGGCTTTAGACGTCCATAGATAGTAATGGCCCTTTTATGCTGACACCTCTAAAGCGAGTATTTGTCTTACTTGACGAGCGTTTCCGTTTAAGCTGACGCAATTTTCAGGTTCTTCCTTCTGGGGTAAAGAGCATTTGCACCTGTGGGTTTCCTGTTGCGTGGTAGTTTAAGGATGAGCAACAGGAGGAACAGAATATCCAGCAACATACAAAAAACACTGAATCATAACTTTCTTCTTGACGTCATACTCGACGCTCTAATACCAATGCTGAGATAAAAGGGGATTGTTGCGCAGTAGGTATCAGCGAAAGTTTCTGCATTACTTACAGTTCCTAGTATCTAGTAATATCCTTGTAAAACCGAGACGTCCTAACGAGCAACTTTCACTTGTTTTTGCCTTCCTTGCGAGCCTATTGTTCGTAATTCTGTTCATAAGCCATATTATGGGTTCACTCTTAACATGCACAAGTTAGTGATACATGTTAGAAATTTCAACGTATTTGGAATTCTGTAGTAATTAGTCATGTATTCAACATCGTGACCACAGTACGAGGGCACCACAAACTAGATAGTTGCGCAGTCCTAGGGACTTGGTAGACGAAGCTTTTTAGCATTACTTTATATCGGTCTTCGGGTAATCACTGAAGTGGTTAGTATTCTCGGGTATAAATAATACTAGTTAGATTAAGATACCGCTGATCATGACAGTGCATATCATTAACAGACCTCTCGTGAAAAGCAGGAACGCCACACATCGAGATAATTTGATTGATCATTCCAGTACTCATCACGACGTTAATGCATGATCTTCAAGCGGGAGTGGTACGCGTACTATGTGCAAATATTTAGGTTGTCGTTTGCATAAAATAAAATACTCTACACGTAGGTTAGAAAGTAGACATGCTACAAAGGCTCTTGAGGTTTCGTCCTTCACGAAACGATGGCAGCTATTGACTAACACCCAGGTAAACGCCGTATGTGCCAGAGCACAATTGCGATTCAAGTGATCTCTTAGACAGACGATATGAAAAATGAATGTCAGGGGTACTATGAACAAAAATAAAAAGAGAAATAGACACGCGGACTGTTCTTTTGGAAGTTAAAATGTAGTTCGAACAATACTGTCTTCGTGAAGCGGATAGATTGCTGCCTTCATGAAACACTCCAGAACTGATACTCCTCTACTCAGAGTGAACACTGAGTGATTTGCATATTTTTATTATCTGGTTTCCGTTATTACAAGCCTTAACAACATCCCTGTTCCCTGTCCCGTATATTGTTCAGGTGCATCTGAGCAGAATATTCCGGTCGATTCACGAAGCCAAAATCGTTAGTCATAGAACATGGAGGAAGAATTATTTTCGTTCTTAACCAACCATGTAAAGATACCCCTTAACCTATTGTGCCCACTACTTCAGGATTCTAACCCAGTTTTAAAGGATTCAAACGCCGGTGCGTTTTTTTACCACGGTTTGCTTTCTTACGCTAACAAACTGTTCAAGTCTTTACTTGTTTCAGTGTGGGCATAAAATAAATCAATGTGAACTTCTTTCCACCAGTCATGTCCATTCATGAGAAACTTTGTATGTATTTTGTTTTGAGTTCTTTATTATACTCGTTCATTCCTCAGCCAGCAATGTGCACTCAGTGATACAGCCTCCGGAACGCAATCAGATTATGGCCTATGGATTGACGGGAGTTCACTTGCGTGATACACTGGATCCGGAGCTTGGTCCCCTGGTCCCAGCTGGTAATGTATCATACAGAAATGCCTGGAATCAGTCGGCGACGCTAGGTCACAAAGCTTGCAGAGACTTTTTTGATGTCAGCGATGTCACGTATACACCGCAGTGCGAACCTCATATGCTTGCGAATATAGCTACCCAAATGGATCAGGCTTACCAGGATAACACAATGCAACCACAGGAGAACCCTGTGCACATTCGGAACCAGTCTGTCTGTGTGTCTGCGATGGACGTCACACGAGTGCCACTCATGTCACAGCAAGCATTGTAGGAACTATCATAAATTCCGGTGATTTTGTTGAACAATCTGTTGTACCCAAAACTTTGTGGCCCTTATTCATCACTTTGGGTTTGCTTGTTTTTCATCCAAATTCGCCTGCATTGAGTTTCAACAGAGTGTGAATTAGAATCTGTTTTTTTTGTATATCTACCATTGGGATTTCTTGGGCTCTTGATGGAGGCAGTGTTTTGACAGACATGCATTGATGGGAAAAATCTTGCTGGCCGAGGATATATTGCATAAAATATTTCACTACATTCCGTCCACTCAACAACTGGAAGCTTTTTCTAGCTGTCCCATAAGGCCGTTTCTGTAATGCACAGTAACAGGCAAACAGAATTAAATCGTTATTCAAGGAATCAATAAACATCAGTTCGAACATTTTGGAACTGACTATGTATCCTGCTTGAGTGTGAGAACGTCAGACGACTGTAGGGCTACCCATTACTAATAGAAAGCACAAACTCTGATCCAGGGAACTGCATTCAGGATTCTCTTCTATTCTATTGAGATTCGTTAACTATCCGAAAATATTTTCAACACGTTTGTAACACATGTGCTACCATTCTGGGTCTTTTCTACTTCGTCTACTTTCATATCCAGGGAGGGGCCAGGTTTAAATCTTAAAAAAATTTCATACCTATAAACCATCTGATAGGTGTAAAAAGAATAGTTCACAAGATACATAGACCTCCCTGTGAGGAGCTGTCACACGTGGAACTAATTAGTATGGAGCCCATTGTCGTGAAGTGTGTGAGTGAAGGGTGAGGCCACCCCTCATCGTTTAGATGTGCAAGGTGGTCACGTCATCGATCCACTACTCCTGATCGAAACGGTTTTAAGATGCATAATTGAGATCCACAAGTTTTCTCACCAATGTGTTCGGTAAGGGCTCTGAATGACTTGATTTAGCGAAGCCAAGCACACAACAACAACGGATATGTTCGAAGGACTTCTTGAGAGACTTTGTAGAATTTTTTGATAGCCAATACTGTAAGCAGGACGTACTGTACAGAATCGATCACTATATACTCAGCATTATTCCTCTTGGACGTCCTCTTGGACGAATTCAAGCACAGCTCAACCAAGGCGGCTTATCACAGTTAACAGTTGAGTTGACAAACATACGTGCTACGTATACGTCGTCACCGAAGTTTTCTGGTCAGTCTGCCAAGTGTAGTAAGGATAACAGCAAAGTAATAAAAAAATGATAAATACATATAAGATAACGAATTAGAACGGTCAGTTCACAGCTTTCCGGTATGCTGTGGTATTATCAGATAATAGCCTACATTTGGCTCGCATTGGCGAAATGTATCAAGACTAACGGGACAAACAGATTTTCTGCTGACCAACGGGATTCTCCGAAAGACAGTTCAAAGATTAGCGAATATACACTCATCTCTACTGGAAATTGCACGAAATTAGCGAATATACACTCATCTGCAAACTAATTTGGTCCTTTCGAGAGACTCATCCGGAACCCAGCTGAACTGAACCCGTAGAACATAAGGTTGACGGAAACCCGGGGACTGCGCCTGCCTGATGAGCCCCAAAAAGGGCGAAACCGGTCGTGGGCTGTCGATGGATTTTCAGCATCCTTATGAATAGTACATTACAGTTCAAAGATATTTATATCTATACCGATAACCAAACTAATCTAAGGGAGCAATTTTCTCGAGCATTTCAGTACCTGACTGAGGATTCTTAACCTGATGCTGCAGTTTTCCGAGAAATGACAGGAAACATAACGACAAAAGACGTCAAAAACTTGGGACATAAGTCTGCTGGAGTGAATAGTCTCATTGTGTTTCTCAACCATGCTCGAAGTTAGGCTCTCGTCAGACAAAGTCATCGAAGAGGATAAATATGGTCATTTTTCTGGGACAGGTATATATGTTAAAATTAGCTGCGCGGGAACGCATACTGATTGAAAGACTGATGGAATCAATCCCGTGGTAACCACTGGTATTGGGTTGATTTTGGCATCAGATTTCGTGGTATACGAATTCGGGTAGAACAATGAATTCGCGCCCTTTTTGTTTTTCGGCCAACCTAACCAAACCCACTGGGTCCTTTAATTCCTGCTAAGATATATATCAAATTTTTCAAGCAAAATCAACTATGGGTTTGTCAAGCTACCCTGTGGTCTCTCAGGGTCGCATGTGTTCTATACTAAAATGAACGAAAGTGCACTTTTATGATTTTTAACGCTAGAATTTATCTACACCCGATCAGCATATTCTCGCAGAAGGTTTGTGAGACTTTAAGGTAACCTTGAAGTTACTTTGAAGTTTGATAAAACATAAGGAACAGTATTCCGGGAAACCGTAATGCAAACTGAAACAGTTTTGAAAAATGAATGAAAAATTCGAGGAAACAGTTTTGCTTCTCGTTTAGTCCAAAACAAAGACAGAACCTAACGACGGGGTAAAAGTTTTATTTCACCCTCTGCGTTATGTAGGGATCTGTGAACAAGCGAAAACAGTAAAAGCATCGGTACTACAGGAAATATAACTGAGCCATACAGAATTCATCTGGTTTGATGCTGCTTGCCAAAATACATGTGAAACTGGATAAAATGTTGGTGAACAAGGAACGGAACCACGGAAGTGTCGGCGTAATACAGAGTTGAACATTCTCCTCGGTCAAGGTCATAGCATGAAGCAGTCTGCCACACAGACTCAAGTCTCTCTAAGCAGTATTAATTGTTTGATTCGGGCTTGTGCTCCGTTTTCAAACAAAATTGACATTAGTTAACTGCCATTGTCTTATTTGTTGATCGCGTTACATTTTAGTTTCACATAAAATATGCAACTAATCCTGCAATTTGCTTCATTTTCATCCTGTTTTCTACCTTCTGCCACAGACAGGATTGCTTGAGTTGAACTCAGTTCTCAATAATATCGTCTTACTCTCCTCTTCAACATGATCCGGAAATCAAACAGCTTGAATTTTCAAGCTGAAAAAACCACTCCACGATCTTTTCCGTGGAGTGCTGTTCGCCGCATGCTTCAGCTAAACATGTGAGTCTTAATCCACTGATTTCTTTTCATATTCCTCATTCTAAAGCACTCCGCATAACCGAAAATTGTCAGCACTATTTACATCAGCCATCTCATGTCTACCCTCCCACCCTTCTGCAAGACGCACAACGTTGATCTGCCCACGGACAAATAGTTCCGTGCGGTAGCAAGGGGTTAAAGAAGGCATCATGCTGTAGGCCCACAGATGAACAGGCGGTTCGTGCAGACAAACAGCATCACTTACCCCGTGTAGTCTTGTACTGATTATGTAACACTGCACC